AAGGCCTATGTTCGACTTGCTCCTGATTATGATGCTTTGGATGTTGCCAACAAAATTGGGATCATCTAAACTGAGTCCAGCGGGCTAATTCTAAATGTAATAAATTTTTCTCACAAAAAAAAGAAGAAATAAATATGAATTATGGAAACAACAAAAGAGGGGGGAAGAATAACCAACCTGATAAAAATGAAAAAGCAGCATTTGCCTAAGGATAAATCCTAGAAGATATGAAAGAGTAATCTAAAAGGATTAATGAAAATAAGAAATATACGGGAAATGTTACTATATTGTGAGTATTGTAACTTTTTATTAAGCAAAATTAATATTAATTCAATGAATTTATTTTGTAACTTTCATAATAATAATAATAAAGCAGCTTATTAAAAACTTAAAAAAAAAGAAAACAAAGATTCTTACCAATGAACCCATAGGCAACATCATGATAGATGGAGAGGAGACTGAAACTGTCAACAGCATCATCTTGCTTGGATTCACAATTAATACACTTGGTATTAGCAGTCAGGAAATAAGGAGACTGAATGCACTGGAAAAATCTGTAGTTAGAGACCTCTACAAATTATTGAGAAGTACGATGTAAATTTGAGGACTAGGGTGTGTTTGACTCAGGCCATAGTCTTTCCAGTAACTTGCTATGCATCTGAGAGTGACAATGAATAAGGAAGACAAAAAAAGAATTGAAACCTTTGAGCTGTGGTATTGGAGAATAGCACCTCACAACCCATGGATGTCCAAGTAAAAAAACAGATATGTCTTGGACAGGGTGAAGCTGGAGTGCTCTTTGGAGGCAAGAATGAGACTTCACCTCACATACTTTGGGCACGTTGCTAGAAGGGTCTATTCCATGAAGAGGGAAAAAATGCTGGGAAGGTTGGAGGGTAAGCAAAGGAGAGGAAGACCCTCAACCAGGTGGATTGTCACGGTGACCACCTCAGTGGGCTGTTGTGTGTCCAGAAGTGTGAACATGGCACAGGATAGAATAGGATTCAGATCTTTTATTCATAGGGTTGCTATGAGTTGTGCTCAACTAAATGGCACCTAACAACAAGAAGATATTTTATACCTAAGCCCTGACAGCAGTTTTGTAAAGCATTTTCATGTATTTAATGAATGAATATAATTTACATTCAGAGATCAAAAAGGCACTCTGGGTGACACCATTTCAGCAAAATGCTCTAATCGGCCAGGTCACCCTTTGCAGTTCACGGCTCACTTGCAGCTATTTGTTGTGTGTATACTTGCAGGAGTCTGTCTTCAGAATTTCCTCACAAACACTATAAAAATTCCTATAAAAATTAATAACAAGGCCATATAAAAGGAAGGACTACCTCCCTAAACATCTTGGTCCTGCTGCTTGATTTCCCTTGGGCCTAATTTCTTTTGTGCCTTAGGCATGTGAGCAACTGCTAATTTCCGGAGTTGATGCTAAAATAGATAATATATTCTAGGAAGCAATTTAGGTTCCCTACTTGCCATGGTATACAACTTTGCACCTTTTTTACAGACTTCCAATTGAGAATGAAGATGCACTTTTTCTAGAATAGGGACACTGCTGTTTTGCACTTAGAGAATGTTCAATAAATATTATTTTATGATGTTAAAGGAGAAAATAATGCTTCATAAAGAAAATTAACTTCACTGTGATTAGAAAGAGCAAAATGGCTGTTGTAACATGGCTCCCTCTTGGACAAATTCAGCATATTATTCATGCTCCTAAAATGTAATCATAGTAAACAAGGGACATTTTTGTAAATTGGCTACTTTAAACCCTTTCTGGTGCAAGTCAGATTTTCAGTAAACAATAAATCAGTGATGATACTACTTACTATCCTACGTCTTAATGCTGGCATTATTTTACTAGTTCAAATCCACCAGCCGCTACGTGAGAGGAAAAACAGGTCCTCTTCTATGCGATTTATAGTCTGAGAAAATTGGTCAGCTATGAGTCTGTTACAACTTGATGACAATGAGTTTTCATTTTTTTAATTTCTTTTTTTTCAATTTTACTCATTTTAATGAACACTTAGAGATTTTGGATTTCCATTCATTCATTGTTGCATTTTTCTCCCTGCCCACTCCTCCCCTCCAGTTTGCTCTTCTCTTTGAAAAGTAAAAGAAAAATTCTTTGATTGGTATACCATTCGCCCCCCTCCCCAAGTACACTCCACTATGCAACCTTCATTCTGGACTCTTGTCATAACCATAATACCCAATCATATATCATTTTTAAACTGTTCTCTCCCTCATATGTTTCCATGCAGTATACATAATTTATCCAATTTTTCTCAGTCTCACCCCAACCCAGATGTCAGTCCTGTTCTACAACAGTGGCACTATGCAGTATTTGTCCTTTTGTGACTGAGATATTTCATTCAGCATAATGTCTTCCAGGGTCATCCATTTTAATAATGTTGCATGAGTTCCTTGTTTTCTGATAAAGCATAGAATTCTACTGTGTGACTCTACCACAGCTTCTCTGTCCATTCGTTTGTTGATGGGCACTTAGGTTATTTATTTCCAACTCTTCATTATTGTGAACAAAGCTGCAATAAACATGGGTGTGCATATATCTGCCTGGGTGACGGTTATGGTTTCTTTGGGGTGTATTCCCAGTAGAGGAATTGCTGGGTCAAATGGTATTTCTAGTTGCAACTTTT